CAGTGATTCTCCCATTATATGTCCTGGAGAAACATACCCATGTACACAGAAGAATATACAAAAACATATACAAATATATCTGTTTGTAATAGTGGAAATAAATGGTATCAATCCCAAATGTCTATCAGTGAGAGAAAGGATGAAAAAAAAAACCCTGGAACACTTAAACACTGAAAGAGTATATGTCAGTTAAACTGAATGAACTAGAGATATTCATACCATCTTTAATGTGGAGGAGGAAGCAGTGTGGATGAAAAAAACTGCCAAGGAGTGTATTAGTATAGGATCATTTCATATCAAGTTTCAACAATATATCAGATTACCATGTGTCTTTTAAGGATGTGCTGAGCTGTGCTTTGTCGCTCAGTCATGTCTGACTCTTTGTGACCCCATGGACTGTATGTATCCAGGCTCCTCTATCCATGGGGATTCTTTAGGCAAGAATACTGGAGCGGTTTGCCATGGCCTCCTCCAGGGGATCTTCCCAACCCAGGGATCGAACCCAGGTCTCCCGCATTGTAGATGGATTCTTTACTGTCTGAGCCACAGGGAAGCCCACGAATACTGGAGTGGGTAGCCTATTCCTTCTCCAGGGGATCTTCCCAACCCAGGAATCGAACGGGGCTCTCCTGCATTGCAGGCAAATTCTGTACCAGCTGAACCACCAGGAAGGGCCATCTTTTCAGGGTATAAACATGTAATCAGTTCTGTTCAGTTCAGTTCAGTCACTCAGTCATGTCCGACTCTTTGCAACCCCATGAATCGCAGCACTCCAGGCCTCCCAGTCCAACACCAACATGTAATAGACATGCTCAAATTCAAGGGATTATAAGCTTCAAATACAAAATTGTGGTTGAAGGGATGGAGATGATCTTATAGAGAGTAATCAGGGGTCTCATGGTTGCTGGGATGTTTTCCTTAAGCTGGATGAGTGTTTATTACATTATTTTATACTATTTCCCCCAATGCCTAATTTAAGGTCAACGAATTGGCTAAGTATGCAGATAGACTAGTATATCTGCCTCCTAACTTCCCCCCACAGCAAAGCTCTCCAAAAGCAGATAATTACCCCATTGTGCAATGAGGGAAAGAGGTGAAATGCAACATTGAGTAATCCTTATCTTTCCCTCCTTCCTTCCCTGATCACTGCCTTACCATCCTCTTTGACCTGATGGTGTGCCCAGTGACCAAGTCTCTGTAAAGAGGAAATTTGCAGAGGGGTTTCTGGAAAATATACCTGTTGTTCATAAAAGAGGAAGAGATGTGAGCAGATAGCATTCTCCTCTCTCTCTGTTTTGTATATTGTCCGGATGAGGACGTGATGTTTGGAGCTGTGGCAGCCATCTTGGGACAATGAGGAAAGGGACAAAGAATCATAGAGAAGCTATTGCTGAACTGCTGAGTGAACTCTGGAATCACCTAACCATAATCTATATGGTTAATACACTTTTATTCCAGAGTTATACTACTAGCAAACAAAAGCACATCATCTGACTGTCCAGAGGAAAGAAAGATAAGCAGGTCTTTGGTCCAGGGGCAAATCATCTGGACTCATGCCCTTGAATGTGATATATTAAAAGTCATAAATAGAAGCTCATCACTCCTTTGCTTAGACCCTGTAATGGCCCTTCTTTTCTCTTTGGTTGAGAATCGAAATCCTTAACAAAGTCTTCCAGGCCTGGCTCAAAACTGGCCCCTGCTTGTTTCCGGCCTAGTCATGGCCCACACTTCTCAGTTTCACTCACAATGCTGCAGTCACACCAGCTTTGCTATTGTTGTGATTTTGTTTCACTTCGTTTCTCTCGTTCACCAAAGCCCTTCTTAGCTCAGGGCATTTGCATGAACTGTCCATCTGCCTGAAATGTTTGCTTTACTCCCGTTGCCTGGTGAACGATTGTAAGCCTTCGATTCTCACCTGAAGCAGGAATTCTTTACGGAAGCCTTCCCCCTTGTCGTATTTCTCACTACCCTGCTTTTTCCTTCCTGGCTCTACATTTACTTATTTTTCTGGCATTGATGTTTCTACAACCTCAGTTTCCACCAATGTAATTTAGGCTCCATCGGGATAGATACACTGCGATGTATACTGTGTTCAGTCAGGTCCAGCTCTTAGTGACTCCAAGGACTGTAGCCCACCAGGATTCTCTGTCCATGGGGTTTTCCAGACAAGAACACTGGAGTAGGTTGCCATTTCCTCCTCCAGTGGATCTTCCCGACCCAGGGATTGCACCTGCGTCTACCCGTGTCTCCTGCATTGCAGGTGAATTCTTTACTGCTGAACCACCAGGGAAGCCCATAGAAGTTGGACTTTAATCTCTCCCATCCAACCCAGAATCTATGCTGTGACGCTGTATATTGTGCCCTGTTTTCCCCAAAGTGATGCTCTGAGCATCTCACCTCCCATTCTCAAAACTACTGAAGATAATATATGTTAACTAATATTATTATTGTGACTTCTCATTGTCTATAATTAAATTTCATGTCCTTAGCCTGCCATTCAAGGTTGTCTGTCATTCATTTCTTTCTTTATTCACTCAAAAAATATTTATTGAGCCCTTATCAGAAAAGAATATGCCTGAAATGCAGGAGATCCAGGTTTGATCCCTAGGTCAGGAAGATCCCCTAGAGAAGGGCATCTCCAATATTCCCTTATATTCCCACTCCAGTATTCATGCCTGCAGAATTCTATGGACAGAGGGGCCTGGAGGGATACAGTCCCTGGGGTTGCAAACAGCTGGATGCCACCGAGTGACTTTCACTACCATGTTGCATCTCTGCTCTCCCCACTAGCATCCATCTCTAAACCACAAACTGAATACTATTCTCTCCATATTGTTGCTCAAATTCTTTCTTTTGCCTAAAGTATCTTTCTGCTCTGTATTCACCCAATAACTCCTGACCCATTGTTTCAATCCCACTCTCCATCTTTTACTCAAAAACATGGATTAAACCCTTCTATGTGAACCGCCATATGACCCAGCAATCCCACTCCTGGGCATACACACCGAGGAAACCAGATCTGAAAGAGACACGTGCACCCCAATGTTCATCGCAGCACTGTTTATAATAGCCAGGACATGGAAGCAACCTAGATGCCCATCAGCAGACGAATGGATGAGGAAGCTGTGGTACATATACACCATGGAATATTACTCAGCCATTAAAAAGAATTCATTTGAATCAGTTCTAATGAGATGGATGAAACTGGAGCCCATTATACAGAG